TAGGCACCGATCCGATACTTTTTCTTCTATTCTTGAGATACTTTACTCAGAAGGATATGTTCAGCTCCATCCAGGTAAACATAAAAGTTGTGAAGTCTCCATCTTTTTATGGCTGCATAGTATTCCATGGTGTACATATACCACAATTTGTTAATCCATTCATGGGTCGATGGGCACTTGGGCTGTTTCCATGTCTTGGCAATTATGAATTGGGCTGCAACGAACGTGCTGGTACAAATGTCTTAGTTGTAAAGTGATTTTCGATTATCTGGATCTATACCTAATAGAGAAATTGCTGGATTGAATGGTAGATGTACTTTTAGTTCCTTGAGTGTTCTCCAAACTGCTTTCCAAAAAGGTCATATTACCTTGCATTCCCACCAGCAGTGTAGAAGTGTTCCCTTCTCTCTGTGGCCATGCCAACATCTGTAGTTTTGGTATTTTGTTATGTGGGCTGGTCTTCCTGGAGTTAGATGATATCTCAAAGTAGTTTGGATTTGCGTTTCTCTGATGATTAAAAATGATGAGCATTTTTTCATGTGTTTGTAGGCCATGCACCTGTCTTCATCAGAGACGTTTCTGTCCAGGTCTCTTGTCCACATAGAAATGAGGTTATTGAGCTGGGAACAGTGGCTCATGCCTGTAATCCTAGCACTCTGGGAGGCTGAGGTGGGTGGATTGCTTGAGCTTGCAAGCTTGATTGCTTGAGTTCAAGACTAGCATGAGCAAAAGTGAGATCCCATTTCTACTAAAAATAGAAAAAACTGAGGCAAGAGTATCTCTTGAGCCTGAGCTGGAGGTTGCTGTGAGCTATGACTTGAGCCCAAGTTGGATGTTGCTGTGAGCGATGATGCTACAGCACTCTACCCAGAGTGATAGCTTGGGACTCTGTCTCAAAAAAAGAAAAGAAATGGGGTTACTTGTTCTTTTCTTATAGTTTGAGTTCTCTGTGGATTCTAGTTATCAGACCTTTGTCAGAAGCATAGCCTGCAAAAATCTTCTCCCATTCTGAAGGTTGTCTGTTTGCTTTACTTATTGTGCTCTTGGCTGCGCAAAAGCTTTTTCGTTTGATCAGATCCCAGTAATGTATTTTTGGTGTCGCTTCAATTGCCCAGGGGATCCTCCTCATAAAATATTCTCCCAAGCCAATTTCTTCAAGTGTTTTCCCTGCACTCTCTTCTAGTATTTTTATGGTTTCATGTCTTAAGTTTAAATCTTTTATCCAGCGAGAATCAATTGTTAATGGTGAAAGGTGGGGGTCCAGTTTCAGTCTTGTACAGGTCATCAGTCAGTTCACCCAGCACTGTTTGTTAAATAGGGAGTCTTTCCCTCATTTAATATTTTTGATAGGCTTGTCGAAGATCAAATGGTGATACATAGCTGGGTTCATCTCTTGGTTCTCTATTTTGTTCCATAAATCTACCACTCTGTTTTTGTGCCAGTACCATGCTGTTTCGATCACTATAGATGTATAGTATAGCCTGAAGTCCGGTAATGTGATACCTCCTAATTTATTCTTATTTCTGAGTAATGTATTTGCTATTTGAGGTTTTTTCTGATTCCATATAAAATGAAGTACTATTTTTTCAAGTTCTTTAAAGTATGACAATGGTGCTTTAATGGGGATTGCATTAAATCTGTGGATTGCTTTGGGTAAT